CTGCTCATTCACACGCAAGGCATTCCCACCATGCCGTGACCACCGCTCGCAACGGTGTAGGAGCTTCGGAGGGCAAAGGCACTCGTGCGACGCATGCCTCACTTCTCAAATTATCCACCCCACCTGATATTTCACACAGGAAGAGTCCACGGAGTGTTGAAAAACACACCCACCCACCAACACACGCAGAGGAAAAAGAGAAAAAGAAAAAGAAAGAAAAAAAAGGAAAGTTCGGGGGAAACACAAACTAAGCAGCGGCAACGGTACGATTGCAGAGAACAGCCAGCTTATGTGTCTGTCTCCGTGTGTGTATGCCGCTTCGACACGCTCCCTACAGATGTTATTATTATTATTATATATATATATATATATATATTAATAAAGAAAAGTATGTTATACCTTTTTGTAAAAATAATATGTATATCTGTATGTACTTTTGCCCTTCGTTCAGTTACAGGTAATATAGATATCTGATAAATAAATATATCTTAATGTCGTTTCCTCCTTCTCTTCCTTGACGTAAAGAAGAAATGACTCCTTCTCGAGAACTAATCCCTACAGCAATATTGTGTCTTACTAAACACCCCCCCCCCCCACCCAAAGTAAGAATAGGAAGAAAAAGAAGAGGAGAAAATTTGTTTGAATAAACAAATTTTATTATTGTTTATTTATTATTCTTGAAAAAAAAAAAAATCCAACTAAAACAGATAAACAAACAGACTTGTATACACACGCACACACATTTTTTTTGAAGGGTCTCGTGCCATATGCCAATATTCTTCCCTTCTTCGCTTTCTCCTGCTGTTCCCTTTTCGTCAAGCCTTTCATTTCCCCCCATTTTTTTTCTACTTCTTGTCTTCTTCCCCCCACTCCCCACCTCGTATTGACTTCTGCCGGCGCACACATGTACACATATATGTACGTATATTATATTATATACATATAAATAAAGGAAAGGCGGCGGTGTGTACTCCTACTGCTGCCACCACCGCAATGAGAAAATAATAAATATAAATATGTATTTTCTTCAGTGCCATACGAGTGCAGTGCAACCTCTTCCCTCCCCAAAAAAAAAAAAAAAAAAAAAAAACCCTCTTATTTTGTTTCACAATGGCCCTTCTCCTTAACTCACCATACGACCTCCCCCGGAGCGTGGCTCGATCAACTTCTTCCAGTTGAGGGCGTACGCATTAACGAAGGAACGCATCGCCGTCACCAGCTGCAGGGCGGAGAGTTCCACCTTTTGTAACGCGTCAACGTCCACCTGTCGCAGCTCCAACAAGACGGAGGGGCTTTTGCTGCCGCCCTTTGAGTTATTCTTATCGTCATCGGGTTTACCAAGAATTTTCTCCTCCACCGCACCGCGAGCCCCAAAGTACTCACGCAGAGAGAATACGCCCGCTTGTGCCTTCACACTACTGGTCTTTTCACCTGCCCCACCTGCTCCACCTGCACCGAGAGTTTTGTTTTGTATTTCTTCCAGCATTTTCAGAACGGCATGCTGCACGGCGACCCCCAAGTTGTCTTCTTCCTTCAGTTCTGGAATGCGCACGGAGATGACGGTGCGGATCACCTCCGCATCACAGTAGATACGGCGACATGCGGACTGGTAATTGAACAGCATTGACATGACTTCCTCTGGCACCTTCTCAGCATTGTCGCATGTATATTTTGTACCCTGTATACTAGCGCACTGTGAACCCGCCTGTTCTGCAATTTTCGCCACATGACTGACCAAATTTGTGGCCCACCGCTCCACAACACCACAACTCTCTTCCTCTGGAAAGGCATCGCGCAGATCCTGGGCATGAACGAGGCGTTTTGGCGGCATTTTTCTTTTTCCCTTTTTTTTTTTTTCCTTTTGTATGTATGTTGATTGCTTTAAAAGAGGAAAAAAAAAAAAAAACAAAAAAAAACCCAAAGAAAAAGCAACCAATAAAAATTAAATAAACCGTAAAGGCCTCAAAAAGAAATTATATATATTTTGTTAAATAGTGCTCCTTCCGCTCTTAACTCCCCCTTGTGTTTTGGTGGTCACTGCCCGGTAGACCCTTCGTGTGAAAGGTATCCGTGCACGCATGCGTATTTATACATGCATGCGACAGGAGGAAAGAGTAAAAAAAAAAGAAAAAAAAAAGAATGGGAGTAAAGGCAACGTAGACAAAATTACAAGCATTAGAAAGTAAGAACGCATATGTGGGCGGCAATAAAAATGAAAAAAGAGAATGAGCAGAAAAAAGAATAACAAAAACAACAACAACAAAAACAAAGAAGAAGAAGACACCCTGCTGTTCACCACTGAAACTCATCGTGTTCTGGTGAATAACGACCGACGTTGACGTTTCCTTCGGAGGGAATTCACACGCCCAAGACGGCCTTGCGGCACCGTCGCCGTCACCTCCGCCGGGTCTTCCTGCACCCACTCCATCATCGCCATCTCCGACCGGGACGTCCTTGCCGTCGTGTCTGTGACGTCTACTTCTTCATGTTGTTTTTCCTCCACCTCTTCCTCCCCCTCCCCTTCTTCTTCTTCCTTTGCCCCCTTTGGTTGTCGCGGCTGAAAGCGACCAATGGAATGGGCTTGGCGCGTGAATTCTACCGGACTCGGGCTGCGTCGCGCAAAGACGTACACAGGCAGCCGCGGGGGAACGATGGTAAATCGTGGTGCCGGTGGTGGCTCTTCTTCATCACCGCACGACGCATGAATGGAATTGGCGGCGAGAGGACTTTTCATTTCCGGTGTCTTGGAGACACGAGTACTGCCACCCCGCAGAGGCGATGGCACCAGTCGCTGCTGCAGCGGTGACACAACATCCCCAACGATATCAACGCCTTCTTCACCTTGGTCTTGTTCCATGTTCTCCCAGGGGTATTTGGGTGGTGGCGTAAAGGAATCACCATTCCTCCGTGCGAGACATGCGAGCCCCACGCTGAGTTCTGCACGCTGCACTGGACTCTTTGATCCTTTTACAAAATCTATTTTCACTTCATCCTCATGCACGTTATGACTGCCGTACTCGTGATTCAAGCTACCCCCAAGACGCTCATGTTCGACAACGAGGGGTGGATTTCTCCTTGGCGCGGCCCCAGCAGAAATTGTTGTGGATGCTGCGGCTGTTTTTGCCTTACAGAAACGCTGAAGGACGTCGGGTGGCACATGCTGCGGTCGATACCGCGCAATTCGCACCCCGTTCACCTCCACGAACACTGGAAAAACACATGCACGTTCGCAGACTTCAAATGCGTGCGACGATGTGGATAATTCCACCGCCGCTTTCGCCGTTTTTTGTGTGCTCGTGCTGCCAAACAGAGTACGAGCGGTGGGCATCATTTCCAATTTGGAATTCCCATGGATAGCGTTCATGTCTTCTGGTTTCCTTTCGCCCTTCGTTGCGTCATCATGTCTCGCTGCATCCTCTGGCCGCAGTGGTTGAAGTACGCCACCCTCCTCATCAAAAGGATTTTCTAGGAACGCCACAACATCATTTTCACACAGACGGTGACTCTCGCCAGAGAGCAGAGGCCTGTCATTCACATACAGCGGGTTGGATCCAAAATGAATCAAACAGTAATATGGCCCTTTAAAGGAAGTTGAGTCGTCCTTCACACCAATCTCTGTGGTCTCTTCGTCGTTCACAGTGACGGTGTCACACTTGGGACTCGCTGCGTGCCCTCGCCTCGTAGAAGGATATCTTGACAAGAGCTGCTTGTGTGTTGCGGCATCTCCCACGTAAACGACACGACAGTGCAACCGACTCACGCAGGTGTGACGCAATCGGAACGCCCTTGGCAGACACGTATGTCGGCCCAAAGCGACATGCGGGATTTTCTGAAGCCAATTACGTGAGGTGATCACAGAACGACGGGCAGTGGATAGCTGCTTCTTTTTCCTTCTCGACCGCTTCGTTTTATTCTCATCGCATGGATCGTGCGATGTGCGCTCCGGCTCCGTGTGGTCCGTCGCTATGTGGCGTTCCTCGTCTTCGTCGTGCCAGTGCGTGTAGAACGACTTCAGCAACGACGACTGCGGTTCGACAGGAAGAAGAAGATCATCGTTGCGTTGGCACCCATTGATGACTTTAAGCCGCCACATAGGCACAGTGGCACCTCTATGCATTCTCTTCCCCTCTCCTTCCTCAGCTCTTCCCACGACCATTAAACTATATATGCATGGATACACACAGAAGAAAAAAAAAAAAAAAAGGAGATGAAAAGACAGGAGAATATTATTTCCGAAATTTGGAAGATTTTATTACATTCATAAGAGACATAAAATTCTCTCCCATTTCACTTCATGTGATATATGTATTGTATGCGTGTCAGCAAGCACGCGTATGTAACGCCTTCAGAAAGAGTGGGAAGGGAAAGGGGGAGAATACTCATCTACAGCCATTTTCCTCCACTGCAAATATAAATATAATACACAGGCACATAACTCTTTCCCTGCTGACTATCGCGGTGGACGAGCCCATTGGTCATTAGCCAATACTGCAGGCAGGGGGCGTCTGTCAGTAGCGTACATTTCCTGAAGCCTTTCCTCTTCAAGCAACTCAAATAACCCACGCGGGCGTTTTCGTGGCGCACGCCGCTGCTCCATCGGCGCATCATCCTCGTCGTTGTCATCCCTGTAGAAAGTGGAATCTTCTTCCGTCACCAAATTTTCACGCGCTGCCGTCTGCTCCACGTCACGTTTATGCAATACAAGCAGCTGTAGAAAAACACTAAAAACCAATAAAAAGACAATGAGCTTAGGTACACGGGCGTATTTAGCGTCCAATGTGGGGGCACACTTTGGGCATTTGCACCAAAATCGATAACGATCATGTATAACGTATTGACGGTTGTCAAAAGACCATTCGGGTGGAACGTAACTGATAAGGATTTCCGATCCAGCGGGAATGTTGGCGGTGGCACGGCAACAAAACAAATATTGCACCGGAGCCCCAACTGTTAGTTCACGAGACGCCGTGGAGTTGTTTCCATCCTCTCCGTTTTCCTTCTCTTCCACACGATTGCTTGGATGTGTCCTTCTGGAGGGAGAGAACTTTTCATCCATGACAACTGTTTCATCTTTTTCTTCGATTGCTGCTGCCGACGGTGTTGGGTCTGTGGCGTCTGAGGCTTCTGCTTGCAAGGCTTCGTCCAAGTAATACTCCGACTCATGGAACGTGTGCTCCGGCATCACGTCGTACGTCGCATTCGGTGCGCAGCTGTGATTTAAGAAACCCGCCTCCGGGAAATACGCCATACCCTTCCGCACCGCGTAGGAGGA